AGTTCTTCGGGGCTTTTAGGGTTTCGGCTCAAAAATTCGGTTTAGGGTTTATAGATTTATAGTCGAAGAATAATGAGTTTTGGCAGCAAGAGGAGCAATGATAGTAATACTTGTTGCAGTAGGTTGGCAAAGAGAAATACCAAGCAGGAACAATCGTACTGATCACTGGAAGGGTAAGCATAGTGAGAATAGTAGTGATAGCAAAAGGTTTAGCCTATCGTGGTTCAAGGTTCAGGGGCGTAGGGCTTCAGGAGGAACTTTCGGCAATCACCGACTGAGGGTTCAGGGTTNNAGGCTTCAGGGTTTCAGGCTTGAAAGGTTCGGGACTTGGAGTTACATTCCTGGGGCTCAGGGCTCTAGCTTTGAGCGGGTGTGGATTGTAGACAAGCTGTGCAGTTTGCTTAAGGCGCTAAGGCTAAGGTTTGGGCTGTGGACTGAGGATACACACTGTTCACAAGAACCGACAACCTGGACTGGACGGGAAATCCAGAAATGCAGAACTTCGCTGCTTGCGACTTTGCAGGCTATTAGCATCTACAGCCCTGAAAGCNNGCTTCACAAATGGGCCCACGTTAAAACAGAACGACGATTTGCAACCTTTGAAAGCCTAACAGCCTCGTTCCGGACTGCAGAAGAGGTGGTTTTATGAGGGCCTGACACCCAAACCCCTCGCCCCGACCCAAGCGCCCCCTCAAATCCCGAACCCCCAAAAACCTGCTCGAAACACCCTGAAAACCAACCACGGAACCTGCTGGCATTCGGTGAGCGTGCCCTGGCACAGAAAGATGGCTGCGACGCCTTTTCGGACCACCTCACTTGTTTCGAAGGTAGTGCTGAGCTTGCATGCGCCATCCAACTCCAGATACGTCAACGTCTTTGTCGAATTCTGGCAAGTCTGCGCGCCCACTTGCCGATCCGTCCACTTGAAAAGCNNCATCGCAGGGCACCGGTCCTGCAGACAAGCTGCCTGAGTCGGGCTTGACATCAACGGAATAGACCATGGAAATGTTCTCGTAAACTGCACCAAAACAGACCTGGAAGCTCAGCTGAAGCAAACCAT